GGCGAGGGCCGACGCGTCGTAGCCCGGCGTGGCATAGCGCGGCGCGGTTTACGACTGCTCGTAAACGGTGACCGAGCGTAAGGCTGGGCGGGAGCTGCTCAGCGTGAACAGCACTACAGCGTCCACACGGGGCAGACAGCCTCGCTTTTCCCGCACTCCCCCAATACTTTAGGCTGGCTGCTGGCTGGACCGCTTCACGTTCGGCTGGCAGCGCTACGGCGGTCGGCTGGCAGCGCTACGGCGTTTCTGCTTTTGACGCTGACAACTGACAACTTCACGCTTAAACTAACAAACGGACTTTTGCACTTTACTTGAGTACAAGCTGCTGATTACTACGTATCATCTGCTAAACTAACAAACGGACTTTTGCACTTTACTTGAGTACAAGCTGCTGATTACTACGTATCATCTGCTAAAAATAGAGAGATTCACTCAAACTTTTGGTGTCAAGAGAATCAATATATAACTTTTACGCGACGACGTTGGCTTCTTTCACTTCTCACGGGACGGAAACATGCTGAATAATTGAAAAATAGCAGCTCCCCCGTACTCGCAAGAGCTGGCTAAGCGGCCCGCAACCGACCCCGACTCTATAGGCGGGCCGTGAACGTTATTCTTCTTCCTCTCTCTACTTCGCCCCCACTTTAGCCAACAGGACGCGCAGGATGTCGCCGCACCCGCCGGGCTGCACAGAGCCCGTCCAGGACGAGCCACCCTCCTCTTCGGCAGCGACGGTGCACTTGGTGGAGGTGAGCAGGCGGTGGCTGGCCTCCAGCTGCTCGGCCAGCTGCAGCGGCTCCTCCACGGCGTCCGACGTGGTGCCCACATCGCCGGCCGCCTCCCGCTGCACCCGCCTCTCCAGGGCCTCCTCCACCTGGCCAAGCTGAGCGACCGACGACTCCAGCTGGCGGTTCAGCGACTCGACCGCTAGAGGCACCACCAGCCGCAGCATCTCCACCACCTTCCTCCCCGCGTCCGCGCCCCGCTGCAGCTGCTGCAGCTCTGGGTCCTCGATCTTAAGCTTCTTGCATGGTGGGGCGTCCTCGTCTTCCAACAGCCGGATCGTTAGGAAGCTGTCGGGGAGGTCCTCAAGTCGTCGTATCTTAAATGCCTAAACATGGTAATTAAAAAAATAATTCAATAAACTGGTGGTAGCAAAGCAAAACTTGTACATATGATTTGTTGCAACATGTTTAAAAGGTTTCCAACTGAATCCAATATAGTACCGGTACAACAATACTAAAAGCTTTTTATACCATGATGACTTTTGATTAAAACATAATATTCCCTGTTCATATCAGCTTTTGACTGAATTTAAACTTCTACCATTTCACAACCATTTGCTTTGGACTGTACTTGTACATGTGGATCAGTATTTACACATGCAAGAAAAGACACGGAAGTTGTCCACCGTGTAAAATCCTACTCCCAGCACTCCCATACAGGTTGTGGTACAGAATACACATACATACTACACACTGTAAAGGCTCTATGTTATAAATTCCTGTACTCCGTACTTAAAACACTGAACTTAGCAAGTACAGGAAGACACTGAAACATGTTGACCAATAAAGTACTGGTCAACTTCCTGTACTTTTTTTACACGGTGAATCCATGCTTAGCGATGGAGCAAGCACTGCTATGACAGTAGACACTAACTTACTTTTACCAGCTCCCAAGATATTTTAACCAAAGAAATGAAAATGGTTAATATGACCACAATCAGAACCTTATTAACATACTGACCTTCCTGCAAGTTGGGCACTTCCTTCCCAAGGCAGGATTCTGCACACATTCCTTGCAAATTGTGTGTCCACTGTCCACAGGGCAAGTCACACTTCAGATCCATCAAACAGCAAGTTGTGTCACACTTAATGGTTGCAGTTTACAATGTAAACTACTTAGAATACAGCACCAACCACCATAAGAGGCTATATACGCGCAGGATCACTTTAACTTCCTATCCAACTGAGTTTACGGTGTATCACTGTACGTGCGCCACAAAACGTTTCACTGTGAAAAATATGTTTTGTACATGTACGATATGTTTTGTAATTTGTCAGCACAACATGGACTCACTACCGAAAAGCACCCCGTCAGCGGGCGTCACGTCGTCGAGCAGGCCACGCACTGCACCGAGATGCACTCCGTCATGGAGACGGCTTGGCGGGAGGCCATCCTGGATGCGCGGATCGTGCTCTCACTCGGACCTGCTGCACCCGGTACATGAGGCCGGGCGCAGCCAAGGGCGTGCGCGCCACTGGGGTCGCCAAGGTCCTTCGGGGCCGCGGTGCCCGTCGAGCCCATGGTCGCCTTGACGGCGCCCGCTTTGGTGCCCGTAGGCCGCGGCGGCAACACCCACTCGCCCGCTGCTGGCCATGCTTCGAGAAGAGCGTGGAGGCCAAGGAGAAGCCCAAGAGCACGATACTGGCCAGCCCGCACGCACGGCGAGCAGGCGCGGCACTCCAGCCCAAGGCCTTCACACTCAACCCCGACAGTCTTGTGTGCCTCGAACCTTGGCGGGAGTGGACGAGCCGTGTCCGCCCTGCTGCAGCCTGGCGCCCCGCCACCCCGCATTGTGTACCTGTGTTGCGGGCTGGTCGGTCTGCCAGGCGCTCCACAAAGGCTGGCGCCTTTAGCACCCAGCCCTCTCAGCGTCCACTACAGGAGACAGAACTCTCTGCGTGCGCCGGTTGGGGCCCCGAGGGCAGCCTCACTCCGACTATTAGCGCCACACGTCGCGCTGTCGACGCCACGCTTCTGCGTTACGAACATGAGAGCGCGCAGCGGGATGATGTTCCTTGTGACCACCGTGGTCGGTCGCGGCGCGGACGTGCGCGTGCGCAGTAGCTCCAGCCTCCGCACGGCCGGCGCGGTCACGGGGTGATGCTCTGACGCAGCTCGCGGCTGTTTAGAGGCTTGTCGCACATAGGGCGGGCGGCGGAGAGAGAGGTCCCTCGCTAACTTCACGCGCAATACGGAATCAGCTTGCAGGTCGTCGATCAGGGACAGCGCACAGCGACTCCATGCAGGACCGCCCGACTCAGCCCCCGTGTAGCCTTATGGTCCTCGCTGCGCCGCTCCTCGCGCTGGGCCACGATGGGCCAGCCAACCCTCACTCGAGCCCTTTGAAGCACGCAACTCTGCCTCTCGCATCCCAACCCCCGATCTCTTGCTGCACCATACCACCAGGAAGCTGAGGATCAGCTCGGCGCTGAGGCGCTCCCACGCCGACACTTAGTCTTGGTGCGGTGCTAGCGTCGGGTCTGCAGCAGAGAGCGTCAGCTCGGAGTCGTGCTGGGCGGGCACGCCACCTCCCTGGAGGACGTGTCCGGCAGCTTCAGCGGACAGACGTCACCCACGACCACCGCACGCCTGGCGGTACGCATGCTCGGCGTGCTCGGCGCTGGCGGAGGCTGAGCCTCGGACTTTTCCAGGCTGGAGCCGCCTGGCCGAGGTGAGGCTGGGCTGGGGCAGGAGCTGGGCGTGTCCATAATGTGGCTGCCTTGCAGGAGACACGCGCAGCACCTCACATGCGCAGGGCTCCGCCGCGCTCAGATGCTATATGATCGCCACCGAGACGCTTCTGGGCATCTGCTTCACGCTCGCGCTCTCCACAGACATGACCGCCGCGATCGCGCTCACTAAACATGCACAATGGCTACTGCATGATGCGCGGCGACTGGCGACTGAATGAATGAGAACGAGTGATGAGTGAGTGGGAATGGGGTTGGCTGGAGGGTGGGGCCGAACTGTGCTGCACTGCCAACCACCACCACCGGACCATCTCCGGAGCAGTCGCGGCACCGCAGTCACGCCGCCTGCCACCGCCAGCTCCTGCAAGCTCTCCGCCAAGGTCAAGACCCGTTAACCGTGCGCACATG